ATAGGCCCCGTGAGGGAGGACTTCGCGGATTTTGAACGGCCCTTCCCACTTTGGCTTGAGGGGTCCGGGATCGGGCCCCGTCACCCTTTTGAGCACCAAGTCGCCGACCTGGTAGGAGCGCGGCTTGACTTGAGAATTGATGTATCTTTCACTCCGTCTCTTGTACGCCGCATTTTTCAGTTCGGCCTGCGTTCTGTGTTCGTCGATCAGGTCCAGGTTGGACCTTAGGGACTCGGAGTTGGATTCTTCCTCGAAGTTGGTTACTCGAAATGTTGGGGCGCCGAGCTCGACTGGTATCATGGCTTCCGACCCGTATGCCAGTGAGAACGGCGTTTCGCCGGTGGACGATCTGGCCGTTGTGCGATAGGCCCAGAGTACACCCAGGAGTTCTTCCAGCCAGGCCCCTTTCGCGGCTTCAAGCCGGACCTTAAGCCCTTGCTTAATTATTTTGTTTACTGCCTCGACCTGGCCGTTGGACTGAGGGTGATAGGGTGTCGAGAAGAAGTGCTTGATGTGGTGTTCCTCGCAGAACGACTCTAGCTTCCTCCCTTCAAATTGTTTGCCATTATCGGTTATGATTGAATTTGGTACCCCGAAACGGCATATGATGGACTTCCACAGGAAATCTATCATTTTCTGTTCTGTTATGGTAGCAAGCGGCTCGGCTTCCGCCCACTTCGTGAAATAATCCACTGCGACCACCGCGTATTTCACCCCGCCTTTTCCGGTAGGGAGGGGGCCGATCAGGTCGACACCCCATCTGGCGAATGGCCACGGGCTGAGGATCGATTTTAGGGGCTGCGACGGCTGGATGATATTAGGTGCGAAGGTTTGACATTTCGCGCATCTCCGGGCCAGGTCGAGGGCGTCCTTCTTCAGACTCGGCCAATAGTAGCCCTGTCTAAGGACCTTGTGTGCGAGGGCGTGCCCCCCTGAATGATTCCCGCATACGCCTTCGTGGATTTCTTTGAGTATGTACTCGGCGTTTCCTTCATCCACACACTTAAGCAAAGGTGCCGAGTAGCCTCGTTTGAATAGCTCTCCGGCTACGATCGTAAACCGGGCTGCTCGGGTGCAAAGCTGCCTGGCTTCTTTTGGATCCGGCGGCAACACACCGGCTTCGAGATACGAACGGATTGGAACCATCCAGCCCGGATTTTGATTTTCTATCCCCTGCTCGGCACTTAGCACAGAGGTGCCGGACACGGAGGGCTGCTCCTTGTGTCCGACCTGGACATATTCGACACTTTCCACCCCGGCACTTGAGGCGAGGCGGGCCAGGGCGTCGGCTTGTACGTTCTCGGTCCGAGGGATGTGTTTTATTTTGGCCCGGATTCTGGCTAGCTTCTTTTTTACCAACCCCAGGTACGGGACCAATCTTGGTTCCTTTACTTCGAACTCCCCGGCTATCTGTTTGACCATTAACATGGAGTCTGAGTATATGATGAGGTCTGTTAGACTCATGGCTTCTGCCAAGGCGAGCCCGGATAGCAATGACTCATATTCGGCTTCATTGTTAGTTGCCGGGAAGAGGTATTGTATTGAGTGGCAGAAGAGCTTCTTGTGGGGATCCACGAGGACGACTCCTCCGCCTGCACGTCCGGCAGTGGTGGATCCATCCACGTACATCACCCAAGGTTGCTCGCTCGTTTCTCTGAGTCCCGGTGTGAATTCGGCTATGAAGTCCGATAGTACCTGCCCCTTCATTGCTGTTCGGGGTCGGTAATGGATGTCGTATTGCCCCAGCTCCACTGCCCACTTCACCATCCGACCTGACGTGTCTGGTCGGTGAAGGATTTGCCTCAGCGGGTAGGCGGTGAGCACTGTTATAGAATATTCGAGGAAGTACGGTCTTAGTTTCCGTGCGGCAATCACTAAGGCGAATGCAAGTTTCTCCATCGGCGGGTATCTCAGCTCGGCATCGTGGAGTGCTTTGCTGACATAGTAGACGGGGTGTTGGGAAGACCCGTCCTCTCGGATGAGGGCGGCGCTGACCGCCACATCGGAAACTCCCAAGTAAAGAAAAAGTGTCTCCCCAGGTCGAGGTTTCTGCATGGTTGGAGCCCGGCTCAGGGTCTCCTTGATCGCTTCCAACGCTTGCTGGCATTCCTGGGTCCATTCGAACTTGTGGTTTTTCTTGATTGCGTCGAAGAACGGCTTACATCGATCGGTCGACTTCGAAATGAATCGAATGAGGGCGGCGAGCTTGCCGGTCAGACTTTGTACCCCTTTGATTGAGGTCGGCGGTCGGAGGTCCTGGACGACCTTGATCTTTTCGGGATTGGCATCAATGCCGCGTTGGCTGACGATGTATCCCAAGAATTTTCCCGAGCCGACGCCGAAAGTACACTTTTTAGGGTTTAATTTCATGTTGTAATCACGCAAAATAGAAAACATTTTATTGAGATCGTTCACATGGTCGGACGCATACACTGACTTGACTAACATGTCATCTACATACACTTCCATACTAACACCTATCAAACTAGCAAACATTTTGTTGACTAGGCGCTGGTATGTGGCCCCGGCATTCTTCAGTCCGAATGGCATCATTGTATAGCAGTAGAGTCCTCGCGCCGAATAAAAAGAGGTGTGCTCGGCGTCATCTGGGTGCATCGGGATCTGGTTGTATCCGGAATATGCGTCCATAAAGCTCATCAGTTCGTGCCCGGAGGTGGCATCCACCATATAATCAATGTGGGGCAAGGGGTAGCTATCTTTGGGGCATGCCTTGTTGAGGTCAGAGAAGTCGATGCAGAGACGCCATGCTCCACTGGCCTTCTTCACCAGTACCGGGTTGGCAACCCAGGTCGGATATCGGACTTCCCGAATGTAGTCGTTGTCCTTGAGCTTGATCACTTCTTCTTCCAGAGCTTGCTGTCGGTCCGGCCCCAGCTTCCTCCTCTTCTGAACGACCGGCCTAACCGTGGGGTCGACCTGTAACCTATGACAGGCGACCTTCGGGTCAATGCCGACCATGTCTTCGTGGGTCCACGCAAATACGTCTGCGTTCTCTCGGAGGAAACTGGTCAGTTCGGCCTTCAGCGGCGCCGGCAGTCTGCTGCCGATCCGAAGCTGCTTCTGGCAGGTTTCTTCGTCAATGAAAATGATTTCGACTTCATCCATGGGCTCGGCCCGCTTTGTGCCCCTCTTCTCTTCGTATTGGGTTCACGGGTCGAGCTCGTCCTCTTCCAACATAGGTTCCTTTCCGGCTCTACGACCCCTGTCCTGATCTAGGTCGGGCTCGGCATCCCGTTCCTGCTCGGCGTTCGTCCCGACTTGGGGGGGGAGCGGACCCATCTGGGTTTCCAGCATGTCGCCTCGCACGCCGGGGTGGACCATCTCGGCATCCCAGTCCGTCTGATCCCCTTCGGCATCCGCTTCTAACTCGGCATTCTCGGCCATCCGCCCGGCTCTTGGCATAATCGGGGGCGAACCTGTCTGGTTTCCCAGCGTGCGGTTGCCCCCTTCTTCGCGGGGAGCGGCCATATTTGTCTCGGCTTTGGGGCCGGAGTCCGCCGCATTTATTTCTGCCCGGGGGATAGTCAAGACGCACTCCCGCGCTTCTCTCTGGTCTCCCCGATGGGCTCCTTCCCCGTCCGAAGTCGGGAACTTGATGGAGTAATGGAAAATCGAGACGGCTCCTCTCAGCTTGTAAAGAGCCGTTCTGCCGAGGATGGCATTGTATTCGCTCGGGCAATCCACTATCTTGAAAGTCTCCAGAATCGTTCTCGTGGGTTGCCCCTCCTCACCGAACTTGATCGGCAGTGTTACCTGCCCAACAGGGCTCGTCATGTGGCCGTTGAACCCCTGGATCCGCTCTCGGCAGGGTTGCACCTCCTTCCTATCAATCCCCATTTTCTTGAACGTGCTATAGTATAAGATGCTCGCATAGGCCCCGGTGTCGACCATTATTCGGTGGATCTTGATCGCCATTATCGGGGCCGTGATCACCAGGGCGTCCGAGTGGGGATGGTCGAACAGGAATGCGTCCTCATCTGTGAAGGTTATTTTGTTGGGCGTTGGCTCGGACGCCGGCCTGCTTCCGGCGTGCATCACCCTCTGCCCGGCGTAATAAGCCTGCCGGGCGTAGGCCTTTGTCTGCCTCCTCGAGACGAGGGACTCACCCCGGCTCGTGTTCACGCGTCGGGGTAAAAGATCAGTCTGGTCAGTGTCTGGTCGTGGGGACCGGTCTCTCTTTCTTCTTGCGGAGGTGCTGGGCTCACCTTGGTGGACCGGGCTGAACGTTAGGATTTCGTTGGGCGCGCCCTGCTGCGGTTTTTTCCTCCGGGGGTTCACGTCGGCATCTTCATCACTATCGAGGCCGTCTCCGAAGCTGCCTCCTTTCTTTCTTTTCTCGCCGGGGCGAGTGAACTTCTTGACTTGCGGGTCGTCTATCAACTTGAGCAGCGCCGCGATCAAATTTCGGCATTGATCTGTGTTGTGTCCATGCGCCTTGTGGTAGGCGCAATACCGGGACTGGTCTACCTTGTCCTTATCGGTGAACATGGGTTTCGGGTCGGGCAGCAAGCCCTTCACCTTGATCTCCTCATAGACCGCGGCGGCACCAACCGAAAAGACGCCCTGGTAGTTTTCTCTGAGTTCTTCCGCCCTTTGCTTCCTCATAGCCCGCATCTCGGCAAATGACTTGCTGGGTTTCCCCGACTTATCTTTATTTTTGTCTTTGCTTGACGTGGCGTCCAGCACCGGGATGGACGAGGATTCCTCAGCCATTATGTAATTTTGGGCTTTGGCGAGGAACTCCTGGTAGGTGGCTGGCTTGTTTTGGCACAAGGACCACTTGAACAAGGTTTTTGGCTTCAGCCCGGCCTGCACGGAGACGAGCAGGGTCTCGGGGTGGCACTGTTCCATGTTCTGGACTCGGTCGTTGAACCGAGCAATATAGTCTTTCAAGCTCTCGTCCTCGCCCTGGACGATATTGGCGATTGATTCCTTGGGGGCCAGGCTGATCTGTGATCCGATGAAGTGCGATCGGAACGCCGACCTGAGCTGGCCCCAGGTGCAGATCGAGTGCGGATACAAGGAATGGTACCATCTCTGCGCCTTTGGTCCCAGGGTCAGGGAAAACATTCGGCAGCGTAGGGCGTCTGTCACGCCGTGCAGGTCCATCCATGACGTGTAAAGGCCGATGTGAGAGTCGGGATCCGAATTTCCGTCGTAAAGCCCGAGCTGCGGCACCTTGATTTTCTGGGGTACGGGCTCGCGCAGGATGTCTGGGGAGAGAGGGGAGGCGTGGTCCACGACTCGTGGAGTGGGCTGCGAGTAGTGAGGGGGTGATGTGCCCCTTGGGGGAGAGCGCCGACCCTCCAATTCGGCGATTCTACGCTTAAGGGCCGCGACTTCGTCCGCGTCACGCCCGATGTTCTTGCCCCGCTCGATCACGTCCCGGAGGTCGCGGTTGGCCTGGGTTTTGTCCCCAAGGCGTTGGTACACGGAGCGCCGTATGACCTGGAAGCTCCGGTCTGGCTGGCTTTCGCCTGTCTGCTCCGTTGGCGCCGGTCTGGCGTTTTTCTCGCGCCTGGCCTGAGCGGTGCGGTTGGGCGATTGAGCCGTCGTCTTGGATTTGGCGGGTTTTTTCTGCTGTCCCCCGGCCTCCTTGTCGGGGGTTTGGAGCAGGGTGTTGACGGGATTTTCTGTGGCCGCCACAGTGTTTCCCCCAGGTGCCTGGCTCGCTAAGGCCCTGGCGAAGACTCCCTCCAGGGCTTTGAGCACGTCGGGGTGCTGTATGGCAGCAACAAAGGTAGGAACAGGAGGAACGGGGACTTGGGTCCCTTGCTGGTTGCGGCGAGAAGTTTCTTCGCCGTTGCGCCGGCGGGGCTGAGCGCCGGACTGCTGGGTTGACTCGTTGTTGCTGGACGAAGCCATCTTGAATGAGATTCGAAGCGAATGAAAGTGAGTGAATATGGGGTTTCACAAGGTCGAACAATTGACACCAAGCAACTTATGGGCCCCTTCCTCTAGCGCCAAACTGTTGACGAGCGTTTTCGGTCAACGGTTAAAAATAAAGAATGTTGAGAACCATTGAAAAAAGGGGGAGAACGGTTCGGTTTAATTACGATTTTATTAGGCGATCACGAGGTCGGCCTCTCGTACGAGGTCGGCACTTGCGATATACTTACAATTCTTACAGCGAGTTTCTTACAACTTTTAGAGAGAGAAATTAGAGAGAAGGTAGAGTTAATTCAATTTCAACAACCCCAAAATAAATGAAATGAGCTGCTATTTATAGTTGTCTTTAATGAGGCACTGTTCAGCTACTGTTCGCTGGTCTTGTCGCACAGTAATTTGACAGAGCAGTTCGGCGTCTGTCTGACGGGCATTTAATGCAATTTGAGGTTTCTTCAATCATTGCCTGCCGAGCATTAAATGCCAGCATGGGGTGCATTTAATGCTGTATGGCCTTGTTGACTCATGCTGGCTGGTAGGGGTCTAGGCCATG